CCAAAGCATCTAAAATGTTGGGCTTCGTGGAAGCGATGGGAACACTTTGGGCTGCCGTACGCATACTGCACCCTTAAGGCAAAATGTTTTGCAGCAGACGGTTTGACCCAGCATATCTGCCAAAAGCCCGCCCACTCATGCTTCCGAAGAATCATTTCGTGGCGGGCCCATCCCGCACGCAACGTCTACAGAGGCGCTGGCAGGGCGATCCTTGGCGTGATTGCTGCGCTGTCAGTTGGTTTCGAGACAGCAAACTTGTCTACTGCAGTGGGGGATTTTCGAAAAGCTGTGAACAGATTGGCTTGCTCGAGCAGGCGTTGCTTCCGTTGCTTTTCTCCCAAGCCGGTCTTGTCACTTTGCGTGTGTGATGCCGCTCAGATGTACGAAGAATTGTGTCCCACTGAGATACGTGATGCTGTGGGGTCCCTCATTGACAAGCTGCGAGCTTCAGTGCCCGCAGCCACGGGTATCGCAGTTGCAAGATCCAAGCGCCTCCGCACTTGGCTGACCACGAGTGACTTCAAGCGTAATGCATCCTGCTCCATTTGGACCTGGTCTGATATCCTTGCTGTGCTTGACTTAGCCTTGCGCCAGCCAATCATTCGTTTAGGCAATGCCTTGTTTCAACAGCAGATTGGGGCACCCATAGGAGGTCACTTGTCCAAGGCCATTGCTTCAGCAGTGCTAGCTTTCGCTGAGCTGAAGGCTTGTCAGTCACTTGATAAATTGAAGCAGGCTGGCTTCATTCCTTTGGGTGCGGGTTCATTTTGTGATTTCGTAGCACCTGCCAGATATGTGGATGACCTGGCCCTGGGCTCTCACATCCTGTGTTCAACTTGTTTGCACACTCTCACCAAGCACATTTACCCAAAACCCATTTGCTTTGACTCCGCTGCCCCGGACAAGTTTGGGTTGCAATGGTTAGACGTTTGGCTGGAAAGTGTCGAGGGATACCTTCGTGTCCGAGCTGATGGTGTAGAGCATGCTTGGCGTTCCTCTGGCGGGGCAGGCCTGCCGCAAAAGTTCCGCCTCAAAGTCTGGCTTGGAGACTCGCATGTTGACATTCACGAAATGCGTGGCATCGTGGCAAGCAAGCTGGTGAGATTGAAATCTCTCCAACTTTGTCCCCAGCAACTTCGTAAAACAGTGAGTGCGGAGATTGGCCTTTGGGCTCTGAGTGGCTATCCGGCTGCCACTATCAAAAGGATCTGGAGAAGATCGCGGCATTTCCCTGAAGCGTCACAGATCGCAGCTGAAATAGTAAATGCCTGGATGCAAAGCGATTTGCCGCAACGCATACTCCCCTCTTGGTTTGAATAGACCATGTCTGCACGCATGGCTTGTGCATTTGCTCGACTTTGCTGAATTTGGCTCACCGGTGCTGTTAGCAACCCAAGTTTTTGCACCGTAGCTTGGCGCAGCATGTCTTTCTGGCAAGGGGACGGTGGCAAAGCTGGAGGCTATGGCAAAGGCTATGGCAAGAACAAAGGCTATGGCAAAGGCTCTGGCAGCAGCAAGGGCTATGGCAAAGGCTACAGCAAGGGCTCATGGCAAGATCAGCGGTCAGGGCCTTACGCGAACAATCGCGGCAGTAGCTTCGAGCACGCAGTGAGCCGTTCCTTCCAATCTGCCCTTGGCTCCACCTTGGAATGTGCGATCACAGAGGGCTTCTCCATGGTGGCAAGCCGGCTTGCAGGGGAAGGGCGTCCAGATGTGCCGCAACATGTCTCCCCGCCAGCCCGCGCAGGGAGTGCCTTGACCCGTGCCATCGTCAGCCTCTTCGGGGGAAGCCAGCAGCAGACAGATGCAAAAGCGGCAAATGAGCCAGCGCAGAAGCCTGTCTCTGAAAGCGAAGCAGATGCCGCAAGTTCCACCGAAGCCACCCTCAAGGCCGCTTTGGTGCAGCAGACGCAGACAGTGGAGCTGCTGACAGACCTTATGAAGTCCACGCTGGAAGCTGGGGGCAACGCCAAGGGCGCAGAACCAGTCCACTCAGTGGAAGCCCCCTTGGTGGGAACCCCCAATCACGAAGCAGACAAGATTGCGAAGTTGGAAAGCCAGGTGGAAAGCCTCATGCACGAGCTTCAACGCGCCAAGGCCTCGTCCTCATGCGCAAAGCCAGTGCCAGCAAAGGCGAAGGTGCAGTCCATCCTTCCGTTCAAGCTGGCGTCTCCAAGCAACTGACTAGGCTACAATTGCTGTGCTTCCTCCCCGCCTGCCTTTGTGGAGACATGGGGTGGGTTTTGTGTAGCAGTGCTCTGGTACCTCATCAGACTGTCCCTGCATTTGAGTTTGCTTCTCGCGATCCTGTTTACCATTTGGAGTCGCCTATGCCAGAGTTTCATACAGGCGATGGTGTCACAGGCTTTTGGCATTATCACACGTGATTCTCAGACACTCATGCAGCAGCTCATTGTGGACAGTTTGCCAGGATTTGACACTGCTTGGATTTTGAGGGCGGCAATGAACGGCACTAGCACTATACCACCAATAGGGCATTCTGAAGAAGATGTCCCATTAGTTGGCTCCTGGAAGTTCACTTGGCAATCTTTGCTACCTTTTGCCCTGATAGTTGCACGTAAATTCTTTGCGTGATGTATAACATCACCTGATAGCATGCAGGTCGTGTGATGTACGCGCGATCATCTCATTTGATGCTCAAATTAGAGAACGGGCCGCTCCTGAAATTGGAGCGTCAGGTTGCGCCCAGGCCGCGCTCATAGCGCAACCGGATGGCGGACGGCTCGGAAAAATCATGAGTGATTGTGGACGTCCGCGCTTCGCTTGGGCCAGGCTGGATCGGGTTTGTTTTTTCCTTTCGTGTCCTTGCTTCTCTGCCGCAGGATCTTCGGCGCGCGGTGCCAGCATGACGTTGCCGTCTAGCGAGCGCAAGAAAAACATAAATCATACAACAAAAGCGAACATATTTTTTAATGTTCTCTTGTTGGAAAATTCACAGTATTCTTCAATCAAAGCACCAAGCTCCAACTTTGGATGACATAGTTATCAGTAATATCTTTAAAAATAGCATTGAAGCTGCCGAACAGAAAATAATTGTGAATGCTAGAAGAAATTTGGTTGTATTTGACGAAGGTGTAAAAGCAATGCTGGAAGGGATGAGGATGAACATGATTAATGATGTGAATAACTTAGTTGTGGGCGGAAATTTCCGCCCGTTTCCTCAAAGGCAGAAATTTCCGCCTTTGTTTGGAAAACGCGCCGGGGATGGGGGAAAGGCGCCCAAGCCAAGGAAAAACGCCGTTGTGGCAACGCTACAGATAGATGCCCACGATATACTCAGCCCTCCATGGCTGCCAATGTTTTGGGAATTGTCCTAACTGGCGCGCGCTTCAAAGGGCGACACCACCAAACCATTGCCACCCAGCTCTTCTCACCACCAAATTTAAGGCTGTGGAACATTGTATCCCTTGCCCGTCCGGTACGTCTTGGCGCTGGCAGACATGCTGCAGATCCATGGCATGTTTGTGGTCAGCCAGGCACCTTTTAGCAGCCGTCGCGCGCAACTGAAAGGATGGTCTCAGCCTTGAGACGGGCACCCACTTTTTTTCGAGCTTTGGGAATTCCGCCCGTTTCCCGAAAAATCCCGCCCGTTTTTTTGAAGAATTCCGCCCGATTCCTGGAGAATTCCGCCCGTGCTCCGGCCCCGAAAACTCCGAACATTGGACAAGAAGGCGTTGCCAAGAGCGTCCGGCGTATCCTGAAGGTTGAACCAGGCATTCCCAGAAATAAGAAAAGAGGCGCTAGCGCCCGTGAATATCTTTGCCCACCTGCAATTTTCAGGATCTCGCAAACTTCCCCACCCATGAGGGCATCAAAGCAAGACATGGGTTGATCAGAAAGAAAGAGATGGAAGTCCAACAAACAAACGGCAGGGAACACCATAGAATTGCAACTCAAAACGCAAGCAGTGCTTGGCAGGGTGCGCCAAGTTCAAGAGAGTAGGGGCTAAGCGGTGCTTAAGGTACCTCATCGCGAACTGGCAAAGAACGCCGGCGCCAAGTCTAAAACGCCGTCACGAAAATTTTATGCCGGAAGGATCTTCTAGGTATTACAAAAAGAAGTTCAGAAGGAGCTTCCGTGGCACAGAGACTAGTTGAAAGGTAGCTTGTGTAGATAGGTAGAATCAGAAGATCAGATAGCGCGCACGAAAAGCTAGCTCTAGCAGATAGCTTTAGAAGATCAGATAGCGCGTGCAAAAAGAAAGCGTGTGCAGAGAGTTTGCGCGCAGATAAGTGATCGAATGAACGCATGCAAGGAACGCGTGGCGGGAGAATAGAAATTGCGAAAAAACAGTGACCTCTGCGGCTTTGTCGATGTCAACCGCCTCTGTCTCGACGCCTGTCTCGGCTTTGCCGCGGGCGCGGCGCGGGTGCGGCACGTGCAGTGCAACGCGAAGGTTTCGCGAGGTTTGGATTGCGTGGCAGGCGCAGCATTTTCACGGATTTTGCGTGGCAGGCGCAGCACTTCGCAAGGTGCAGATTTCGTGGCAGGCGCAAACCTTTGCCTCAAAGCCGCCCCAGACCAGTGACCACCCCTGGAGCCTATCTCGGCAGAGGCCCCATCGTTCGCAGCTGTTATTGAAAAACAGCCCCAAGCCTCACCAACAAATTAAAACGGGGCCTGAACTGCTTGGTTTTCCTACTGTTGTTTCTTTGAGCTCATCTCAAAATTGCAATAGCGTGGCGGAAGCTTTCAGCATTGTAAGTCCCTCACCCAAAACACCTCAGCTTGCCAAAGCGCCCACAGGGTTCCACGAGGGTTCCGTGAGAATTCTGTTCTGGGAAGCTTTTGGGGTGGTCAGGGTGGGCTCCGTGAGGGCGGTTCCAAGGAGGGTTCCAGAAGGGTGCTTGCAGGGTGTGGTGCAGTTGGGGATATTGCCTGAGATGTGTTTTTTGTTTTTTTGTTTTTCTGGTGGGGTGGGGGTCCCCTAAAAAGCACGAGCCACAATATCTCAGCGCAGGGGAAATTCCCTCCGGCAGGAGAAGTTTGGTGCCACGGCGGACGAGACGAGAGCGGCCGGAAACCCCCAACCGCCCCAGCCAACGATTTCCCTGGATGTTCAACCAGCGTCAGGCAAGTAGGTTCTAACCGTGGTGATAACTAAGGGAACTGAGGTTGGCATAGGTTGGCCCCCTTACTGTATATCCGTAGCCACAACCTACTTTCTAAGTTGGTTGAACATCCGAGTAACCTTTTTTTCAGAGACCCGAATAAACAGTGTATTCTGGAAAAATTGCCTTTTAAAACACTGAGCTTTCATCGCTTCCACCACGGGTCGTGCGACAATCCTTGTCCATTCCAGGTTTTTTTGTGTGTGACACTGTTCAGTTCTGGTAAACTGTAAGTCGTCTCATCAAGAAACAGTTTTTCGTTTGGTAGGTTCTGGGTGAACATGGCAACTTATTTCCTGAGTTCATGGATTTTAAACTCATTGGTTGCCAGAGCCTCCACCCTGTGAAAAAGCACACCTCACTCCTTGACTTCATGAACTTTCTACTTTTTGGACCATTTTGAAAGGACAGGCTTAAAAAACTGGTCATTCACGCGCCGGGCAAGACATGGCGTGACGCCCGACGGTTTTGTCTGAATCAGCATCTGTGAAGCCACGAGACCACGGTTAATACTTTTTTTGGTGCGTATCAAGCGAAGGGCAAAGAATTGAAAACAGTTTTTCGTGCTGCTGGCTCACTCATAAGAAGGAAAAAAACAAAGGGTGATTGAAGAGGCAGAATTACAGATGCTAATTCAATGGCTCCCTTTTGATCATGGCTCAATGTGTTTTTTTTTGTCATAGGGACTTTAGGGCCACTTTCTGTGACAGGCAAGCCGTGCCATAGGGATATCTGAGATCTTTGGTTATTTTTCGCAACCACGAGTCCATTGTAGAGATTTTGGGAGTCCTACTCCCCTAGATATTTTCTTAGATGGTTTGCCCAAGAAGGGTCCCCAAACCCCAAAACGCGCTTCCTTCTGGACGGGTTCCTTTCAATCGGGGAGTACCTCCCCTCGCGCTCGGACTTGCGACTCGCAGTCCCTGTGGGGCCTGGACCGGGATGTGAAGAGCGTGCCTTGGCAGAAGCTTCGGAGCGGATAAAAAGAAACCCCATAGGGGGTGGGGGGCCCTCGAAGAAGCGGTCTGATTCCCCACTAAACCCAGGACACCCAAAGGTGAAATCCTCAAGTTTAAAATCTAATGGTTGACAGCAAACTTGACGGGCGCCTAATCATCACTGAGCCATGGGGGTGTCCATGGATGAGGATGGACACATGTGGGCGTTTTTGTTGAGATCATGCTTGAGGGCATGACTGTGCATGAAAACTTGTGCTTCCTTAAGAAACCTTATTCGCCAATTGGGATTTCTGGGTCTTAGAAATTTCAGGTTGGTGAATTATGCTTTGCCCTCGTGGGGGGGCTGAGTCGGGCCCCGTTCGAAATGTTGCTTGGCTGTGGGCGTTCTGAATTTCCTGCTGTCAACTTTTGGGAAATGGAGATGGGAGAATGACAGGTGCCCAAAATCAAACCATATCGAAAACCCGTTCCATGTTGAAAACCATGTGTTTTGGACCCCCTGGCCCTTGGCGGTTTAGTTTTGACCCATGCCCAAATGAAACTTGCTTCTGGGTGAGGTGCTCCCTCCTGGACCGGTGCTCCCTCCTGGACCCTACCAGTCCCCCAAAAAGCCCTTCCTTTGCCATGTGGGGCGTGTCTTTCATTGAGGCTACCATCTTTTGGGCTGGTTTGTTCAGGGCAAGAGGAAACAGCCCTCTCCTTGTTTTTGTTTTTTGTTTTTTTTGTTTTTGGGGGGTACTCGATGACTGGAGGGGCCCGGTTTATTGAGGGCAAGAGGAAACCACCAACCCTCTCGTCTTTTTGTTTTTTGGTGGGGGGGGTACCCAAAATGACTGGAGGGGCAAGGCGCGAGTCTGGTGACTCCCGGGCAAATGGATGTAAATGAGAAATCCAATTTCGGGGGAGCGAAGGATCCTGTCACTTCAGGTTAAGAACCATTAGGTTGGTAAGAGGGGCCCACTGGGCTACTTTCCATTTGACAGCCCGGCGAAATCGAGCAGTTGGAGTGACGAATCCTTTGGGCCAGGTGATTCAAAGCACAGGTGACTCAACAGGTTTATTTTTGGTGAGCTTGGCCCGGACCTCTTCTCTCATACCTCTCGGGATCTTGGCAAGGGCAGTTTCTCGCGTCGGCGCGTTTCGGAAAGTTGTTTGTCGTTGTCGTTGTGCCTTGGTTTTCACCGGTCGCGTTCGGCGCTTGAAGTCGGGATCCGAGTGAGGTGGATTCCTTTCTGACCCAGCACCTGCGGCTCGGCCGAAGGTTGGCCTGAGACGGCGGCCGTTCCGGGGCCAACAGCCCCAGGCTCCGACGTGAGGATCCAGCCCACATCGACAGCTCATGGGTACCTCATCGATGTTCACCCCGTAATGTTGGCCCCATATCGTAATCAACCCCAGTTAATTCATAGGGGTGTGTGCGTTCCCCTCCAAAGTGCTCTGATTCCCCGCCAAACCCAGGAAAGACACCCTCCTATTACTAAACTTGTTGGTTGATTAGCATGGGGTCAACATTAAGACAGCTGGTTTTTGGAAGATTTCTGGATTTCAACTAGCTATCTGAATCTCTTGCTCGCCCGAATCGCCTGCTTTGGGTTTCGGGTTTCGCCATCTCCAACTCAGTATGGGGAACTGCACGCCCAGACCAGAGGATAGTCATTTTATCCGTTTTATCTCCCCCTTCAAGATGGAATTGGGGGGTGGGTTGGGGCCTAACGGGCAAACCGTTGCATAGCTCCGATTTGCTGCCGAGCTCTGCTTAGAACAGTTTCATCGGCTTCCCTCCAGGTGGTTTGGAGCTTAGGTTTAGAGCTGCACTACAACCCTCAACAAGAACCAGGGCTTCAAATCCCAATCCAAACCACCAATGTAAGGAGTACCTGTCTTTGTTCAACTCGGAAGAACCAGACTTACCTATGCAAGGTTGCGAGGGGGGGGGGGGGTTGGAGATCACCCAAGTGGAAAGACCCTCAAAAAATAGACACTCCGAACCCTGCCCTTCCAACCCTCGAATCGGCTGCCCGGAAAATGCTCACCCGCAAAGCGGGCCACCTGACTGACTGCGTCCTGCGTCTTAGACGACAATTTTTCCTCTAGGGGGAATTTGTGCAGGAGTGCCGTGTTCATGGGCGTGACGTTTTTGTTGCGTTCTTTCGAGTTCCCATACGTTTCATTCACATGTCTCAGGTTACAGGCGCTCAAGGGGCTGGTGGGATTCTTGCATGGGGCCGCTTCCTGGAGGGCCTCATGTTTTTCACCGCTTGAGTTACTTGAGCGAGCCCTGTTTCCCGGAGATGTCAGTCCAAAGAAAGCAAGACCCTCGAGGATGACTCAATTCCGGCAAAGGCTCTGAATCCAAAAGCAGCTGCTTCTTTTTTGCGCTGTTTGGTTGAAGTCACAAACTGCTCACTCAGGTCCGGTTGAAATTAGAAACTGCTCAATCCTCACTTGCTTGGTCAAAAGTCTAACAGGACCCGAAAACAATCAATCGGCATCTCAAAAAGGCACAAGGCTCGTGCGGTACTTTTTGGTCGTTGGTGAAGCCTATTCCGGCTCGGAGTTGTTTTCATTAACCAAAGGACCCGAGAGACTAACCTTGGGTGTTCCCCTACCACGGCTAAGGAGAGCACACCTAAATTGATGCAAGTGCCAAATCCCTCATGGGGCCGCAGGTCGTTTGCCATCTTTCTGGGATGGAAATGGCAAGCCCTCTACCTTCAAAGAGAGGCGGATGCCCACCTAGTCTTCGAAGGAACATGACACTAGAAATAGAACTTTTGAGGTCCACACGTGCCATGGACACTTGTCTTTTTTGCAGTCAGCAATCCCGAAAATAAAATACCCTAAAAGAATGAGGTTGCAAAATAGACGCCAGGTGTCCATATAATACGGGCCCACCCCCAGAGAAATGGCCGGTTTGAAGGAACATCCTCCAAACCAAAAGCTCTTCCACGTCAGGTTCCATGTGGACTGGAGTGTATTTCCGTCAAGATGGAAGCCCGCCTTCGGGGAAATGACCCCCAAAAAAGAAACGTGTTCCCACGAACCTTTCAGGAAGTGTTGATAAGCTCAACGAGACTGTTACCTGTTACCAAGTTGTCTTGGCTGGTGTTTTTTTCCTTGGAGCAGTGTTTCCCTGAGAAGTGACACAGGCCCAGTTTGGAGAGCATCTGTTCAAAACCGTCCTTTTAGCCGTTTGGTTGCGTCCATTAGTCGGGCTTCCAAAAAACTCAACTTTTTGTTTCTGAGTCCAAACTGGACAAGTGAGTCATAGGAGCGATAGGAGGGGCTCCTCAGCGGCCTGCTTCACTGACAGCCTCTGCCAACGAGCGTCTCAGGACAGCAAAGGTGACGCCCAAAGCAGGGATCAAAACAGACGTTGTGGCGAAGGACCGTTTTTGGCCTGTTTGCACCGAGGGCAATATGTTTTCTGATTCAGTTCCGCAGGTCTACGCTAAAATGGGTGTGTCTTAAAATGGGGAAGCCCGGCAGCTTTAACCATTATTTTCCCCAAAGAATAGTACCCTCCCATAAAAAGCACTCCGACTCCCAAATACGACATGGCTTAGGAGACCCCCGGAGATTTGGAAAGGCACGTTCATGGCTTTCCACGAGGCCTTTGCTGTTTCAGAGGCTCTGAAACCCAAAGTCCCACTGAATCCCAGTTCAGTCACGCCCAAATCCCTGGCAAGAGGATCACGACTTGAAGTCTGAGACTCGGATTGGCTTTCGGGACATGGGGGAATAGACTCGCTTAATCCATATGCCGGCGGGCTTCTTCAAAGGCATTCTACGTGACTATAGCACCAGGGTCCCTGCATGTGGGTGAGTCACTCAGATCCACCCTTCAGCGACTTGGAGGATCCCTCGTTTTTTTTCTTCACAGGAACCTTGCGCAAGCCCCGGGTGCGC